AGAACATGGAGGATGGAGTAGATATCAATCTTCCTTAGAATGTTCATCCTTATTTTGGTGTTGCCTTCTGGATGAATTATTCATAGGTTCAGGGGTTCCTCATGTGCAATGTTCCAATCTAGAGGTCTCTGGGAAAGCTGAAAGACTTCTCAGAAACTCTATGTAGCAGAGGACTCTGAGCAGCTATGGGAGCTCTGCAATATGAATATGGAGCCCTTGTCACCAGAACATGCTAGCGGGTGCCGTGGAAGTGAGGTCCACCATGGGCATTGCACCCGACACTGACAAAGTGCTTCAGGAAAAGCTCATTAGTCCTCCTGGCTGTGCATCATGCGTGGCCAATTTTCTAGCCACTGACAAATGATCTTCATAAAATATGACTGAATTTTCCAGGAAGCAAAATCTCTCAAGGTCTAGACAAAAATACCAAGGAAACTTCACCCGCTAATCCACTAGATGAGGTGTTCTTCCTAGCAGTATCCTTCAACTGTGAGTGAAGCAGGTCATGAGTGATGTGTGGGGCCATAAGGACCTGCAGGTGGTGAAGGAGGAACAAGGAAGGGGTCTGCATGAAGTACAGTGAAAACCAGAGAGGCAGCCTGCAGCAGAAGTTTCTCAAGTCCAAGAAAGGGGTGTATCATGTTCAAATGCCACATGTTCTAGCCAACTATCTCCTCAGAGAGTCACTGACTTCTAAACTCACTGTGGGGATTTCTTCCCATAAAGAAGCCCAGATGTTTTAAGGAAACAATACTGTGAGGATGGCGAATATCACTTCCTATGTATTTTCAAGGAAGAAGGGATGAAAAGATTCTAGAGCCAGAGGTGGGCAGTAAACATCACGGAAACTGTTTTCCAGATACAACAGGGCAGGTACACACATGAACTCGTCATTTCTGTGACAGAACACGTAAGATCTTCACAGTCTCCACCCTGACAAAAATCCCAGCCTGGGGAGCAGGGGCATGAAAGTCCCACTGCCAGCTGAGGAGCTATTGGCATTTTATAGTTCCCGAGAGAGAGCGACTCAATTTTCTTTAAAGATATGACCCTTCATAGGTTGGTGATATGCCAGAGAAGTTCCCACTCCTGAGTAGCTGGGCAAGGCAAATTGAACTCAGTGGGGGAAGGAAAAAGAAGAAATTTCATGGTTGGGAAGGGAGGGAGGGTACAGAGGGTAGTAATGGAAGGAGTTAGGGGGTATGTTCAAATACATTGTATGAAAGTCTCAAAGAACAAAACTATTATTTAAAAAAAGAATCATAGAAAGAAGGCCCAAGGGAAAGGATGGGCTGTGTAGACTGAGCCCTCCTTCAGAGGTGCTGGCCCTGAGCCCAGCAGACAGAAAGACCTCTCCTCAATCTTCACTCTGTCTCTCTGGAGCAGTGTCCTGAGTAGGTGATGACTTAGGGACAGAGATTAAGTGAGTGAGGAACTCAGGGTGGATGAAGTTAATTGGGTCAACAGGTTGATGCTATGGGGCTGGCCTCTGGCTGGGGATGTGTAGACTCCAGTTTCAAAGACTTACTAGGTTATCCTTACTGTATGTTGATTATGACATACAAAACTGTCTTTCACAAGATTCTGTGGATGGCTTGAATTGGCATGGCTTTAAGAGACCAATGTTGAGCACTGTAAGCACAGGAGAGAAACATCAATCTTGAGGGGAAAGGAATTAGATGGAAAAGATGGAGTGAAGAAAGAAAGAGGATGAGAGCCACCATATACTAATCCACCTGTTCCATAACAGCAGAGAGGAAGGTGCAGAAGTGAAGGACGGATCCCAAGGAAAATACTAAAATATACGAAATGTGTTTCACACTCCAGTGGAGAAGACGATGTGAGGGCAAATAAGCAGCCACACACGGAAACATTAAGTGACCATTGGACATGGGAATGTGCAGCCAGATGAGGGGTTTCTATGGAAACCAAGCAGGATGCAGAGGGAGGGCTTCAGGGAAATTCTGCCCTGTACAAAGAACTCACAGTTTGGGAGCCTCAGATCCCTGACAACCTGTGATTCTAGGGAGACTTTAATCATCAAGATCCAAGGGGCTGGAAGCACAGCGGGGAGACAGGAAACAGGAAGTCAGTGTTGATTGAGGGACCGAGTCAGGCAGAGGGATGCTAGCAAAGGACACAAAGACCCACTGAGAGCTCAGATGTGCCCACAAGGAAATTAAAGCAGCTTGTGGTGCTTGGTTCGCTGCATCTTTATAACCGTTGGTTCCTCTCTCATCTGATATGTCTTCCTTTGCCACACATCCACCTGGCCAAAGGCCCTGCTTTGTTTAACTTTTCTCTCTCTGTTGCTTGGAAATCCACCTGTGTTTGAAGGAAGAGGAGGGAAAGAAGGAAGGGAGGAAAGATGGAAAGGAAACAGAGGTGGGAAGAAAGAGAAAAGAAGAAAATAACCAAGTCAATGCCTATTGCCTGAGCTCAGGCTTGGTGCTCCCATGGCGAGTGCCTCAGGCCATTCTCTGTGGGTCTCTCTGGACTGCAGGGAAAATGGCACAGAGGCAGCAAAACACAAAGTCACATGTGATAGTGGTGTAAAGTGCAGGATGAAACTGAACAGGCAGGATGAACACCTGACCTGAACCAGAAAGGTCAGAGGAAGCCTAGTCTCCCAGAAATGGCAGGTGGTGTTCTGCGGGAGCTTTTAGCTGAGCAGTGGAAGATGGAAGTCTAAAGGCAGAAGAGAGAGATAGAAGACAAGGCATGATCAGACCATGGGAGAGAGATGGTCAGATGAGAAACAAGGCAGAGAGGGGAACACTCAGCGACTCATTTCACTGAAGAGGGCTAGGATAGTGCCCAGTCCCAGAAGGGGGTACCTCATACATTGGGAAGAACATGGCCACCGTGCCACAGATGAGTTGGGTACACCCTGGAGACTACAATGCTCTTCACCATCTGTCAGTTCAGGTCAAAGAACAAGTCCATTCTGAGCAGGTGAACAATCATCCACAGAGATAAAGAGGACACTTAGTGGTCTGCTGCCATGTGTGATAAGGCTGAGAAGGGACATTGAGACCTGATGATACTGACCAAGAAGCCACCTAGGGCAGGATGGAGGTCACTCTGCCAGTGGGGAGCCATGTAGCTATGGAGAATGGCCTGACTCTTACTGGAGCTCCATGGAGAAGTGAGGGAAGAATCTAGGCTTGGGGAACAGGAAGAGGCAGGCAGGTGGGGGATGGACAGATGGCCATCATCCAGGATAAGATTGGGGATGGGGAAAAGTTTGCTATGCAGGGCAAAAGGAAAAGTATTTTTTCTCTTTAAAAGCCAAGGACTACTTGAGATAAGAGCAGGAAACAGGCATTTGGAGAACAGATGGTCCTAAATTATATGTAAGGACACTGTAATTTGGAGACTTAATGACAGATTTTATTCACTGGGTTTTCTAAGAGACCTTTAGGTTATAAAAAATAGCAATTCTGGTTATAAAATATCCCACTACTTTGGATTTCTGTGCTCCTTTGTGCAAGTCTGATTGAGTTTATTCCTTACACCAAATTCTAAACTCAAATATTCCCCAGAATGCTCAAGGCTTCTCACTCCCCAAATCCACATCACCCTGAACCTTTCCTTGTGACACTGTATGGCTCCTCCTCAGAAGATGGTTCTTATGTTTGAAAGGGCTCGGCTGAAAGTCTGATTCTCAGAGCCCCTGTGACCTGTCTCTCACAGGTCAGTATTGTCAAGTCTACCCTCTCCTCCCCTTCCCAGTCTTCTAGCACAGCAAACCTGGCCCAGGTTGCCACCATCATGTCTCAAACATTCATAGTGGTCCTCAGCACCCATCATCCCACGTGCCTCTTTGTTCCAGGCCTTCAGCGGGTGCTCAGCAATACCATGGTTGGAGGCAACATAGTTGCTCCTCTTGCCTACTCCTACCCCCTATTCCGCTCCCACCCCCTATTCCTCTCCCACCCCCTATTCCGCTCCCACCCCCTATTCCGCTCCCACCCCCATTACGCCCACAGTGGCCTCCTTGATAATTTACAGCATACTGGGCCCATGTGACCCAGGATCTTTGCATTGTTTTTACATTCTGGGGATTCCCTTTCCCTGGATAACCCATGGCCCACACCCTTGTTTTCTTTAGCTTTTTGAGCAAGTGTGAGTGAGTGTCCAATGTGACCATTTAAAGCAATTTCCCTAGACGATGCATATTCACTTCTTGTGCTTTTTTTCTCTTTAACACTATTTAACATATAATGATTTTCTGCTTTTTAACATTGGTTTGATTATTGATTTATGTATATATGAGTGTCCGTGTGGGTATGTGCACATTTGGGTGGGTGTCAGGGGTATTGGATCCCTGGAGCTAGAGTCACAGGTGGTCATGAGCCTCCTGACATTGGTGTTGGCAACTGAACTCCATAAGAACAGAAAGTACTCTGACCCACTGAGCACCAGCCCTTCTGTTGTTGACCCAGGGTTGGCCTTGAACTTGAAAAGCAGGCAAGGATGACCTTGAACTTCTGATCCTTCTGCTTCCGCCTCTCAAGTGCTGGAATTACAGGCCTGTGTCCTCCATCCTGCCTGGTTTATGCAGTGCTGGGGAATCAAATGTGCATGCTGGTCAAGTGCTCTGTACCAGAGATACTCCCAGCCCCTGCATAGAAACATGCTTAGTAACTTGTTTGTTCACACTTCTCAGATGCTGTGGTCAGAAGGCAAGACTGGTGAAGACTGCTGTTTTCACGGCTGTATCTAGCATTCTCAAAATAGCTCCTGGTACCTGGCACGTACTGGGCACTCATCAACATTTATTTGTGAGCAACTGGTGCATGAAGAATGCTCCAGCTTGTGTTTAGTGTGCACTGGCATTGTTGATCTTTATGTATAAAGGTGAAGCAATGCAGAAAGGTGATCCTGCTGTCTTCTGGGCTGAATGAGTTCTGTCTTTCAACAGATCAAACCACTATTTTATTAACAGTTTTTAGTTTGTGCAAAATATGATCCTCTGTCTTGCCATTCTCTCTCAGATCCATAGTCTCAACTGTCTCCGGATATCAGAATGAGCGCTGGAACCATCATTTGCAGGGCAAGTCTGAAGCTGGGCACAGTCCTGCTCTGCTGTGTTTGCAGATGTTTACAAGTGGGTCTTTCCTCCATCAAGCATCCTCAGCTCCCTTCACGGAAGGTGAGGGAAGCTGCATGGGACAAGGCCATCTTCTGTCCTCCTAGGTTGGAGCCTGGCATGTGGGAGGGTTGCAGCCACAGCTTCCTTCCCTCTTAGCACCTCCGCACTGCTCACACTGGCAGGTGGGGCTAACCTCAAAGGAGCAAAATGGCCCCAGGAGGCAGGGCCCTCTGTGGAAGCCATGCTGCCTCCAGGATGATATATGAACAAGGTCTTTCTATCACTTGCCCAAGCTTGAACACTACGTTGATTTAAAAAAAAAAAGTGAATTATTTAAGGATACTCCCTTCCAGAAGTGGGGTCTAGTGCATGGGATGGTGTGGGGGTAGGCACTTTGGGATGCATCCAGTGAAAAGCTGAAGTGACCAAGTGCACCTTTGGACCTCACAGGGGGATAGCAACTCTGTCTCCTTCAGCCTCACTGTCCTCTGCCCCCTCCTTCACAGATCATTCCTACTGACAGAAGCCTGGGACCACAGCATCAGAAGGAATCCATCTGTCCAGGCAGTCAGGTTCAGACGGCAGCCATGTGACCTCATGTGCACGTGGGCCCCTCACCCAGTCACGCTTCAGGGTTTCCAGTGCTGTGTTTGCTGTCCTAAGGCATAGTTAAGAGTGTTTCTAGAACAGGAGATATGGGGTGACCTGACAGGCATGTCTGCAGCCTCTGAGATGCATGTTCAATGCAGCCGGATGACCCAGGTACCCGGTGCTACACTGACATGGGGAGGTGGGGCATGGCGACCTGGAGTCACATGGAGAAATGCCATGAGTGGGTCACACTGTTGGGCAAACTAGCCAGAAGGCTGAGTGGCAGGCAGGGAAAGTCTGAACTGCCCAGAGCATGCCATGCAATGTGGGAACATGCCGCTACCACAGGTGAGGCAATTCTGTCCCATCCATGAGCCACTAACGGAGGGGCACATGGTATAATCCAAATTTGACCTTTAATGGTCTTGCTACTTAACTATGCCCACTCCCCACGATCCATTGTTATAAACACAGCTTACTGTGGGCAAATACCAGTGCTCTCTGTTCTTATGTGGAGCTTAGCTTCTGTGGCAGTGGGTATTCCTGTGGGAGTGTGTAGATGACAGGAAGCCAGAAAGGGGTTCTTCCTCTCCCATGGGAGAAGAAAAAGAGGTCTAAAAGGAGAGGGGATGGGCCATATGTGATATGGAAGTCAAAGGGGGAACAGTTAGTTGTAAAGGCTAACGGGGCATGCAGAGTGGAGAGACAGGGAAGAGGAGGAGGGGACACAGAAACTAAGTCTCTATGCAAATGCCATAGAGAAACCTGTCCCTTGTGTTGTGGTTTGAATAAAAATGCTCCCCCGTGCCCCCATAGGCTTATGTGGGGACATATGGTCCCCAGTTGGTGGTATTGTTTAGGGAGGTTATGGGATGTTTTGGAGGTGGGGCCTTGCTGGAGGAAGTTTGTCACTGGGGGTGGACTTAGAATATCTGTAGCCAGGTCTCACTTCCTGTTCTCTCTCTCTGTCTCTCTCTCTGTCTCTCTCTCTCTCTCTCTCTCTCTCTCTCTCTCTCTCTCTCTCTCTCTCTCTCTCCTTCTTGTGTGAAGCTCAAATGTGGTCTCACTGCATCTTGACTGCCAGGCTGGCCTCAGGCTCCAGCTCTCATGCCTTCCCTGCCAGCGTGGACTTTTTCCCTCTGGAACCATAAGCCAGAAGAAACCCTTTCTTCCTTACAATGTTTTTTGTCAGAGTATTCTATCACCTCAATGGAAAAAATAATACAAATTGTAAGCTAATTTAAAGATATAAATAAATTAAGTCAGAAGAATAAAGTAGAAATTATTACTTAATCATAATTTCTCACATAGCAATGCCGATCTAATTTACAAGACTCTGTCTAGTGTTAGTGTTTACTGACCCACCATGTTCCCTTAATGTGAGCTGTGATATTAATTTCCTTACAAAGTGAAGAATTCTCTTGAAAAATGGTTTTAATGATGACATAATATTGTGTTTTCAGGTAGAACAAAACACCAAGAGATAGCATTTTAATTCCTCACCCAGAGGCATAGAGGATTGTCCCATAGCATCTCAGCCACACAGGTAGCTTCATGTTGCCAGCTTGTTCAGTGGGCATATGGCTATTCTCATGGAAATACCTACTGTTGGTCTATTGTTAGCATCATTTTCTATAGAGGAGTTTTGGAGGCTGATCACAGCAGACCTTTATCAAGTTGCACAATGTCTCTGGGGGATTTTTTTCTTATCTGTAAAAATGGGCTGTGAAATTATTTACAACTTTTCACTATCATGCATGCCATTGAATGGCTACCACAGCTGAGGACTCTGTGTGCATATGATGGTGCATTTAGACGCCCACTGTGTTTCTGTTCTCCATATTGACAATCCTTAAGGGTCATTTAAAAGGCTCTGCCACCACTTGTGAAGTCCGTACCAGCTCAGCCATTGCCTGAGCATCACAGGTCACCTAGCAACATCTCCCAGCAGCTGTCCTTCCCCTGTGTCCAGCCTAAGGCTTCAGAGCTGAGTTGAGGTTGGATCTCCACAGCCTTTTTGGTGAACACCTGGCAGCCGCAGCCAGCTTCCCCAGCCCAGACAGTCAGGTACTCCAAGCTCCTAGCTTATCTACATCAACCTGCCCTCCCCATATCGGCCTTTCAGATACTATTGCATGTTGCCAGAGGTCACACTCAGGACAGGCTACAAACCCAGGAGGAACTGAATAATTTCCCCCTACATACGGCACCCCTCACATTGGTCCTGCTCAGGTTGGGGGTCCTCTTGGAAGAGCACTGAGTACACAGTCCTGTCTGGGGCTTCTTTACCCTGTCACTTCATCAGGACTGCCTCTGACTTAGAGAAAACAATGGAAGTACACAGAGGAGTCTGTACCTTAGATCCTCCCTCCCTAGTGCAGGATTTCTACAGGAAGAGACTCTTGCCACAGAATAGAAGAAGCCCTACCTGAGACAGGCTCTCAGCTTAACCTTCAATGCTGCTCCTGTCCGACCAACCCACGTTAGCAAGCAGTGGGTGACACACCCTTTCTTTCCCACCATATGCTTGGGTAGCTAAGGCACGCCATACACCCTAATATGGAGATGACAGGCACAAAAGCATGCAGCTCTCTGAATATCGAACCCCATGGGCTATTTAACACACTCTGCAGCAAGAGAATCACGCCCAGCAGAGATCTCCACCAAGGCTGGCTGCTCTCCAGGATGAAGACTGTCAACTGCATGGCCATAGCAGCAAAGCAAATGACAGAGTTGCAGCAAACGGGAACCACTGCTTACTGACCTGATTCTAGAACATGCTGGGCATTTGGGCACACTAACCAGCCCTGAACGTGACAATGTATCCATGATGATACAAGCAGCCTCTTTCTCAGTCAGGAAGCCCCACACCGCATATATAAAGTGCACGTATGCTTGTATTTGTAGATACAAATGTATCCATAAGACGTAACACAGTATGTATGGGAATATGCTGTGTTTATATATTATTTTAATCATTCTAATGATACTTCTTTTGAGGAAACAGAAAGCAGCGTGAAAGGTTTCCACAGAAAATCTGGTCTGCTCCCTTTAAAAAATATAAAGGTCATAACACAGCAAAGAAATATTCCAGATCAAAGGAGATTAAAGAGAAATAATGACAACTAAACACTGGGCAACCTGGATCAGATCCTGGGATGGGGTAACACGGTTCATAGCACACTGTAAAAATAAGTAAAATTAGAATATGGATTCTAGAGTGGGTAGTAATCTGCCCATTAGAAATTCTCTAGTTCTGGAACTGGGCCTCAGTAATCAAATGTCCTTTTTATTGGTCAAGTCCATATTTTAGCATTTATGGCAAAGGAGAATAATTTCTATAATTAAATTCAAAGTGCTTAGTCAAAACAAAAGGATTTCCCAACATGCATGCAGAAGAAAATAAGGAAATGCAGCACATAAACCTGGGTGGCACTCTGTGGGGGAGACCTCAGAATATGCATTGTACTATTTACACAACTATTCTGAAAACTGAAATTATATTGCAAGTAAAATCACAATGCAAAGGAGAGAGCCAGATGAGCATAGGGAGGGATCTGGAGAGACTTCCTTCCGGCACAAGGGTAGCCCCTGTTCTGTGTCACTTTAGGGACAAGCAATAAAACTCCTGAATACTGCTGAGAGCCACAAGGGTCTGTGACGCACCTTGCCTACCCATCCTAGAGAGAACCTGACTTGAGACTTCCAGAACACCCCGCTTCTCCTCAGTGTCGCCTCAACCCACTCCTAAGGTTGCACCATGTCCTGACTTCACAGTCCCCTGCAGCTGTGAGCCCTGCGTGGTCAGAGGCAATGCTGCAAGAAGCATGAAGCTGAAATACTTTCTTCTGAGACTTACGCCTAGGTGATCTGAGACTTACTCAAGATCCTCATGAATAAAAACCATTGCCCTAAACCTTCAGGGCAGCATTGTAATACCTGAAATTGAATGGGGTTTAGGATCACCCAGTATGAGGGATCTCTGTTTTGAAATTGTAACCCTTAATAACCAAGCTAAGAATGGTTGAAACTTCATGAGTAAAATTGTATAGAAAAAAATAAAAAAAAAAACAAAACAAGCTGCAGATGATTAATCCGGCTCTCCATGAGAAGGTGGCTCTCACCACCTTCCATTTCCATTTCTTGGATGGGGTGAATATTAGGGTGTGTGAGACTTGTCTGGGGTGAGAACTGCTCATGGGATGCCACTGACAACATGGTGAGTGATGAACACTGACGAAAACATGGCTGAAAGACCAGGTGTTGGTTATCCCCTACGGTACCCAGCATGCTAGCACGACAAATGCTTATGGAGAAGACGCTGGAGGGGGTGGAGTTAAGCAAATTCATACATTTAGAAGGTGCTAGAACTGGGATTCGGGGCTAATGCATCTGGCTCTAAACTCCAAGTTCTTCCTGTGAGCCTTTACCACATCTATCTAAACAGGAGCCTCCTCCACAGCCTCTGCAGGAATTGGACATCGGTCTGTTTGAACATCTTGAGGGAATGAAAAATCACAATTCCTGGAGATACACACTCTGCTTTTTAAACAGTCTGGCAGAAACACTGGCACCCATGAGCCAAGGCCCACTCTTCACAGCCCTTCAGTTAGTCCAAGCTCAGCTCTCAGAAGCCGTGCTTTGGAAACCCAAGCTCCGTTTCCCTGAGCCGTCTAAGAGCACTTGCCTTTCAACCACAGCTCCCTCCCTGTGGCTTTCAGTTTTGACATTGCCCTAAATGGTCACTGTCTAGATCTGGTGTCCAGGGGTCTGCTGAGAGAGAAGAGTTGGCTCTTCACCATGCTGGTGGCACTGTGATTGGGGACTACAAGTGGCCCTTGGACATTCAAATGTATCTGGTATCAGAAGAACACCATTTCCTCCAATCAGTGTGTGTGTGTGTGTATGTCCCTGTGTGTATGTGTATTTCATGGTATAAGTGCTGTTGTATTGTGTAGTGTGTGCACATGTTTGTGCATGTGTGTGGAGGTCCAAGGTGGAGTTCTGGTGTCTTCCACCCGTCGGTCTTCACCTTTACTTTTTCAAACAGAATGCCTTACTGAACTTGAAACTCATTGACTGCACTAGGTTTGCTGGCCAAAGACCTTCAGGCATCTGCCTATTCTCCAGTGCAGGCTGGGTTTACAAGCACTTGCCTTCATGTCTGGCTTTTTACATGGGTTCTTGGGATCTGAACTCAGGTCCTCCTGTTTGTGTGGCAGGGACTTTACTGATAGAGCGATTTCCCCAACACAGAGAAGCACATTCAAACTTTACTCTCAACTGTATAGAATTTAAATACCCATGGATAGTGAATGGCTCTTGTGTTCACACAGACCAAGACCTCTCTAGAAGAGAACATAATTTTATAAAAAAAAAAAAAAAAAAGGAATGCGTTACCTGGAAATGAATGTATGACTCCAGGCATAACTGATGCTCACTAAACTCCTAACCATGTCATTTTTTCTGGTGGTCATGCCTCCCAGATAACTCAGCTGAGGCTCAGTTCAAGCTGTCGTGGTTTTGTGCACCTGGTGATGAAAGGTCCATTGCCCCATTGTCCTCCCATCTCAGACAGCATCTCCAAGGCTTCTACTCAGAGTTTAGCTGAAAGGAGCAGTCTGGGCAAACTGCCTGAGCAGTAATCAAGTCTCCCAACAATGTAATTAAAAAGTCAACGGCCCTTGAAGGATGGAGTTCTCAAAGTACCAGCTCTTGCAAACCAGGCAGGGCCTCAGAGATGTCACAAGACAGCATCCACTGATTGGGGTCCTTGTTGGGTGAGTCAGAATGAGATTCCAACTCTGGAGCCCAAGGTCACTATTCCAATGACATGTCCAGAAACTGGTGTTGGTCATGGGGTGGGAGGGCTGCTTTCCCCAGGAGAGGTCAATGAGAAGCAGGCTCTACTGTTCTATGTGGCTAGGTATTCCATTCAGTCCATGGTGCTGGTGTAAGATCTATTCCATGAAGGGCTCCATGTACTTTCAAAGGTGTGTCCCCCAAAGTGACCAGGAAGGAATAAAGGACACATAACTCTGTCCTCTAACCTATCACAATGAAGATTACAAGAAGCCATTTAAAAACAGGTGTTTTACCCACAGATCTGAGAGCTCCACAAATGTCTGTTGAACCAACACTGGGCTTAGCCCATCAGAGATTCAACTTCTACACAAAGAAGCCCTCTGGTCATTACCTGGCCGAGCATCACTCCCTCTATGTATGTGTGTGTGTATTCATAAGTATGGATTAAAAGTATAAAGGTCTACAGCACAAAGGGATTTTCTTACTAGAGAGCCTAATTCTCTCTTGTTTTTGTTTAAGAATGGCTAGAGGAAAAACCATGGAGAAGAATGGGCATTGGCTTTTAGGGAGGATCTCTGGTGTTCCCCTGTATTGTTCTCGATACACAGTGCTTCTCCAGTGCCTCTGTGTTTGCTACCCTCTTCTCTGCTCACGTCCCTCCTACTCACTGCCACCTGCACAGTCTCATGACAGCCCCCTTCCGTCAATGTTAACATGGGCCTTCTCTACAGTAAATGGCAATGGGATCAATCTCTCCACAAGCAAGTCCAGTCTCACCCACTGATTGTTCCAACCCTGTAGAGACATCTTATAACTTGCAGAAGAAGGAAGAGCAGAGATCTTGGTCCCTGTGATGGTTTGAATAAAAAAGATTCTCTGTATGCTCGGGTATTTGAACACATAGACTTCAGCTGGTGGCACTGTTTGGGGAGTTTTTGAACATTTAGGAGGCAGAGCCTTGCTGGAGGAAGTATGTCAGTGTGAGTGGACTTTGAGAGTTTGTAACCTCACCCCACTTCTGGTTTACTCTGTTTTCTGCATGTGGTTGAAGATGTGATCTCTTGGCTTCCTACTCTGGCCATCTGGTGCAATGCTTCCTCAGCATGAGAGACCTCCCTTTTGGCACCACAAGCCTAAATATACTCTTTCTTCCATAAGTCACTTCTATATGTCAAAGCAGTCTCTGCCTGTTTCCATTCCCTTGTGTTCTATAACACCAAGCTTGGCAAGTTTGTAGGCTCTGCAGCTGCAGATTCAATCAACTGTGGAGTGCAAACAGTTGAAAAACTAAGTTTGCCTATGAGCCCATTGGTCTGATATCCTAGCATGCTGGCAGTGGAAGCAGGAAGACTAAGAGTTCAAGGCCATCCTCAGCTACACAGCAAGTTTGAGCCCAGCCTGGGCTACAGAAGCTCCTACATCTACAATCTAAATTATTAACTTACGATGCTGCAGCACATTCCAAGGATGTCTGTGTTACTGACTTTATGTGACTTGCTGACACTGTAATAACTCAGAGTAGCACCCTACAGTGTTACTCCAAAGCCCCAACCTATTCTTCCCTCCAACTCAGGTGGATCCATTTTCTGGCTTTCCAGAGATCCACCTCTACAAGCCTAAACTACAAGGGACATCAAGCCTGACCAGGCAAGAGCACTGTTTGGGGGACCTGTATAGAGGAGACAGACGGGTTAGGTGGTGGTGGTACATGCCTTTAATCCCAGCACTTGGGAGGCAGAGGCAGGTGGATCTCTGTGAGTTCGAGGCCAGCCTGGTTTACAAAGTGAGTTCAGTACAGCTAGGACTGTTACACAGAGAAAATCTGTCTTGAAGAAAAAAAAAAGAGGAGACAGACAGGGATGCACTACAGAGTTCTGCAGCCCAAGCAGATGCAGGGCATGTACTGAAAGCGAGTTATTCAGAGATTTTGTGTTTCATAGCATATGTACATTGTACATGTTAATAACATTTAGAGTGTTATTTCCATACATGCAGAGTCTACTGATTAGATCCAGCTTTCCCTTATCCCCTGTCTCATTCCCCCTCAGCCTCTGTCAATCACTCTCTATATCAGTTTGTTTCCTGTTGCTGTGATAAACATCATGACAAAAGTGACTTGGGAAGGAAAGGGTTTGCTCTGCTCACATGTCCTGCTCACAATCAGCCATTGAAGGAAGTTAGGGCAGGAACTCAGAGAGGAAACTACAGGCAGGAACTGAAAGCAGCAGACATGGAAGAACACTGCTTTCTGGCTTGTTCCCTATGACTTGCTCAGTTTGCTTTCATATACAACCAAGGACCACCTACCTATGGGTGGCACTTCACACAGTGCTCCCACAACAAACATCAAATGAGAAAATGCCCATAGGTTTACCTAAAGGCCAGTCTGATGGAGGCAATTTCTCAGATGACATTCCCTCCTCCTAAATGACTCTAGACTCATGTGTCAAGTTGACGGAAAACTTACCAGCACAGCATCCTAGGTCACATTTAGGTCAGCACTTTCTCAGTTTCCACAAGGAGGCTGTTCACTCCTTTCCTTTCTGTGTCTGGCTCTTTTCACTTAACATAACATCTGCTGTTTCTTCTTGGAACAACTGCAAATCACAGGACTTCATTCCTTCGAGGCTTAGTGATACCCTGTTGGGTATCTACACTGTACTTCCCTTGTCTCTTCATCTGCTGATGGACATTTAAGCTAATTCTGTGAGTTGGCCACCATGACCAGAACTTCAATAAACACGGATATATGGACATCTCATCAGCATGCTGATTTTATTTTTTTTCATACATACTAAGATGTGTGATAGCTGAGTCAGATGGTAGATCTATTTTTAGTTTTTCGTGGAACCTGCTCTCCATAATAGCTACACTCATTTACATTCCCACCAACAGAGCCTGAGAGCCCCGCTTTCCCCACTTCCTAACCAGCATCTGCTATTATTCTTTTGATGACAGCCTTTCTGACGGGAGTGACAGGCTTGCTGCCCCATCCTAGTTTTCTTTGCATTTTCCTGATGGCTGATGACATGGAACACTTTTATACACACGTGACACTCCTTATTTATTCATTCACAGATGTCCAAAGCCAGACTGGGAAATTTGTTTGTCTTTCTGCATGCTTACCTGAGTGGCATATGTACATGTGTTCATGTATAATCACATGTGCGGGTACAGGTGTGTAAAGGCCAGAGGTTGATGATAGGTGTGTTTCTCCATCACTCCCCACCTTATATATCAAAGCTGGGTCTCTCATTTGAATCCAGGGCTTGCTATTTTCTGCTAATTTAGCTAGCCAACATGTTCCATGGATTCCCATCTCTACCTCCCACACACTGGAAGAGGCTGCCGTACCCTCCAAGATTTTATGTAAGTTCTGGGAATATGAACTCAAGCCCTTGCGTTTGATATGTTGAGCTGGCCTATGGACCTCTAGACAAGACTTCAGCACGACTGAGTCCCATTCCTACTAGCACCTTCTTTCCTGGAAGAGTAAACCCATTATTCTCTGGGCTGTTGTTTCTGTGTACCCAGTAAGTCTGAGCATATGGACAAGGCCTAGGAGGGTTGGCGTGCTCTGAACAGGCCCTGCAGCACAAGAGTCTATTCCCAGGGAAAGGTCACCAAGTGCATCTCTAATGTAAAGCAATAGGGGGATGCCCCAGGAGATCTTCCTCCAGGAAACCTTCAGGAATGACATTAAAAGCAACCCCTCATTTTTCATTCCATATAGCAAATCACCTCCAGGACACACAGCACGCCAGCTTTCTTGCTAACGAGAAACTGTGGTATTCTACAGCAGTCTAGAAGGAAGAGAGACACATTCCCTTCACAGTTAGCATCCAGCACAGAAAGGCACATCCAGAAGGTTTGGTGTGGGTCTAAGTAGCAAACAGAGCACAGGTAACAACCTGTGAGCACTCCACAGATAGTGTGGCATCACCACTTGGCTCCTGACATGTCCATATTTTCACTCTCGCCTGACTAAACCTTTACATAGACCATGACTCAAAGCTCACCCCTCCTAGCAGCCTTCACTGGCCTCTCCACCTCAACTGGCAACTGCTTTCTCCTCTGGCATCTTGCGACCTAGGACATAGAAAGGTGGTGGCAGGACCAATGGCCACATGGCTGCCAAAAGGTGCTGTTTCCAAGCCACAGAACACTGCAGCTTCGTGTCCTTATTGATAGCTTATGGGATGTCCTATGTGTCCCAACACTCAGGTCAGGAATCCGATGCTATTATGGTCTGGATCTGCAAGGTCTCCCCCAGGCTCATGTGTTGAAACACACGGCTCAGTTGGTGACTATTTTGGGAGGTTGTAGAGTCTGGTTTTGGAGGTGAGTATTAGGGGCAGGGCCTCTGGGGGTTTTAACCCAACCCTGCTTGTAGTCCTATTCTTTCTGTTTCCTAGCCACCAAGATGTGAGAAGCCTCAAGTCCATGCTCCTGCCACCGCAGACTGCCACCACGCTTCCCTGTCACAGTGGATTGACAGTTCCTGAATATGGATCCTTCTCACCTTAAGTTGCTGTTGTCAGGGGCTGTCGTG